ATAATTATAACAACATAAAATAATATATAACCATGACATCAGATCTCATAAGTATAACAACATAAAATAATATATGACCATGACATCAGATCTGTAAGTATAACAACATAAAATAATGTATAATCATGACATCAGATCTCATAATTATAACAACATAAAATAATATATAACCATGACATCAGACCTCATAAGTATAACAACATAAAATAATATATAACCTTGATATCAGATCTTATAATTATAACAACATAAAATAATATATAACCATGACATCAGATCTCATAAGTATAACAACATATAATAATATATAACCATGACATCAGATCTCATAAGTATAACGACATAAAATAATATATGACCATGACATCAGATCTGTAAGTATAACAACATAAAATAATGAATAATCATGACATCATATCTCATAATTATAACAACATAAAATAATATATAACCATGACATCAGATCTCGTTAGTATAACAACATAAAATAATATATGACCATGACATCAGATCTGTAAGTATAACAACATAAAATAATGAATAATCATGACATCATATCTCATAATTATAACAACATAAAATAATATATAACGATGACATCAGATCTTATACGTACAACAACATAAAATAGTATATAACCATGACATCAGATCTGTAAGTATAACAACATAAAATAATGAATAATCATGACATCAGATCTCATAATTATAACAACATAAAATAATATATAACGATGACATCAGATCTTATACGTACAACAACATAAAATAGTATATAACCATGACATCAGATCTGTAAGTATAACAACATAAAATAATGAATAATCATGACATCATATCTCATAATTATAACAACATAAAATAATATATAACCATGACATCAGATCTCGTTAGTATAATAACATAAAATAATATATAACCATGACATCAGATCTCGTTAGTATAACAACATAAAATAATATATGACCATGACATCAGATCTGTAAGTATAACAACATAAAATAATGAATAATCATGACATCATATCTCATAATTATAACAACATAAAATAATATATAGCCATGACATCAGATCTCATAAGTATAACAACATATAATAATATATAACCATGACATCAGATCTCATAAGTATAAGAACATAAAATAATATATAACCATGACATCAGACCTCATAAGTATACAACATAAAATAAAATATAACCTTGATATCAGATCTTATAATTATAACAACATCAACTAATATAAAACCATGACATCAGATCTCATAAGTATAACAACATAAAATAATATATGACCATGACATCAGATCTGTAAGTATAACAACATAAAATAATGAATAATCATGACATCAGATCTCATAATTATAACATCATCAAAGAATATATAACCATGACATCAGATCTCATAAGTATAACGACATAAAATAATATATAACCTTGATATCAGATCTTATAATTATAACAACATAAAATAATATGTAACCATGACATCAGACCTCATAAGTATAACAACATAATATAATATATAACCTTGATATCAGATCTTATAATTATAACAACATAAAATAATATATAACGATGACATCAGATCTTATACGTACAACAACATAAAATAGTATATAACCATGACATCAGATCTGTAAGTATAACAACATAAAATAATGTATAATCATGACATCAGAGCTCATAATTATAACAACATAAAAGAATATATAACCATGACATCAGATCTTATAAGTATAACAACATAAAATAATGCATAATCATGACATCAGATCTCATAATTATAACAACATCAAATAATATATAACCATGACATCAGATCTCATAAGTATAACAACATATAATAATATATAACCATGACATCAGATCTCATAAGTATAAGAACATAAAATAATATATAGCCATGACATCAGATCTCATAAGTATAACAACATATAATAATATATAACCATGACATCAGATCTCATGAGTATAACAACATAAAATAATATATAACCATGACATCAGACCACATAAGTATAACAACATAAAATAATATATAACCATGACATCAGATCTCGTTAGTATAACAACATAAAATAATATATAACCATGACATCAGATCTCATAAGTATAAGAACATAAAATAATATATAACCATGACATCAGATCTCGTTAGTATAACAACATAAAATAATATATAACCATGACATCAGATCTTATAAGTATAACAACATAAAATAATATATAACCATGACATCAGATCTCATAAGTATAACAACATATAATAATATATAACCATGACATCAGATCTTATAAGTATAACAACATAAAATAATGTATATCAAATTAATTTCTCACTGATGGGGTATATTTAACATGTGAAATGGTTGATGATAGACTATACGCTGACAATAAATACCATTGTAATTACAGACAAGAATGACACCCTGACAATAAATACCATTGTTATTACAGACAAGAATGGCACCCTTACAATAAATACCATTGTAATTAAAGACAAGAATGGCACCCTGACAATAAATACCATTGTTATTACACACAAGAATTGCACCCTGACAATAAATACCATTGTAATTACAGACAAGAATGACACCCTGACAATAAATACCATTGTAATTAAAGACAAGAATGGCCCCCTGACAATAAATACCATTGTTATTACACACAAGAATTGCACCCTGACAATAAATAACATTGTTATTACAGACAAGAATGGCATCCTGACAATAAATACCATTGTTATTACAGACAGGAATGGCACCCTGACAATCTACCATACCGACTACCAGAGAGACACCGGCGCTTACAAGTGTATCGCAGAGAACACTGCTGGAAAGGCTCAGGATATCGCCACCATCTTCATCCATAAACCCAACGACACCATGCTCAGTAAGTGAATTAATGGTCGTTCCAAGTTCAATTGAAATCATGATCAGTTCATCATAATCTTCATCTCAAACACCATGAAACCATTCTCAGTATGTATATTGTTTCAATCTCCATGAAAACTGTGTCTGGTAAATGCTGAAATCTTTATTCTGTATCCTGCATTTCTTCTTCTTCTTCTTCTAATCTGACTTTGCCCGTTTAAACCGTTAAAGATATCTTGCTGAGACTTTAGGTATGCATGCATCACCCACAGGAGGTGTGCAGTGCATTGGAATTAGGTCTCATGCTCCACTATATACAGAGTTATGGCCCTTTGTTTATTTTTAGGTCACCTGAGACAAAGTCTCAAGTGACCTATTGCGATCGCCTTTTGTCCGTCGTCGTCCGTCGTCCGTCGTGCGTCCGTAAACAATTTACATTTTCGACTTCTTCTCCAAAACCCCTGAACCAATTTCAATGAAATTTTGCAGGGACCTTCCATGGACAAAGGTC